TGGAAATAAATAAAATGGTCCAGGTATATCTACAGTTGAATTTTCGGAATGGTGAACACCCATAGTACCGATTTTGAAAAATGATGGAAGTGTTAGGATTTGTGGTGATTTCAAAAGAACTAACAATCCTTTTATTAAAGCGGATAAATATCCTTTACCATGGATCGATGATTTATTTGCTAAGTTACAGGGTGGTCAAAAGTTTTCTAAAATTGACCTGAGTCAAGCTTATCAGCAAGTTGTGATTCATCCAGATTTTCGGAAATATACGGTTATTAGTACTCAAGGGATTATTTGCATTTAATCGTCTACCGTATGGAGTTGTATCAGGTCCATCCCAGTTCCAACGTATTATGGAATAAATATTTCTCAATATGCCAAGTATATCTATTTTTTTAGACGATATTCTAATTACAGAAAGGAATAGGGAAAAACACACTAAGAATGTATGTAAAGTTTTAGCGATTTTACAAGAATGTGGTCTTACAGTAAAAAAAGAAAAATGTACGTTTTTCGCTGAATCAGTATCTTATCTCGGATTTATAATTGATAAAAGGGGCTTGCATAAAAGTCAAGATAAAATTCGGGCTATTGAGGAAATCCCAGAACCTACGAATGTGACACAACTAAAATCGTTTTTGGGAAGTATAAATTATTATAATCGATTCATTCCAAATCTCCCAAACATTGTTCATTGTTTATATAAGCTTTTAAAACAAAATTTGGTTTGGCACTGGGATGAAGAATGTCAATTAGATTTTGACCCTATTAAGCTTCAGATCTTGTATTAGTTCATTCATATTTAAAGATGGTAGCGAGAAACCAATCTATTTTGCTAGTAGAACGCTCAACGATACCGAAAAGGCTTGTTCGACTCTAGATAAAGAAGCAACGGCTATAGTGTGGGGAATCAAACGTTTCTACCAATTTTTGTATGGGAAAAAGCTCAATTTAATCACAGATAACTAGGCGTTAGTATCCATTTTTGGTACTAAAAATGGGATACCGGTTACGGTGGCCAAAAATTGCAGCGATATGCAATATTTTTAAGTGGTTTCAATTTTATTATAAAGCATGTATCGACACAAAAAAATGTAGCAGACTTTTTAAGTAGATTGCCTTCAAATAAGTCGATAAGGTTAGATTCTTCTAAGTTTAATATAGAGGAAACTGTTAATTTAAATTATTTAGTAGAAAGCGAAGAAATTCCTATTCATGTGAATGAGATAAGGAAAGAAACAGAATTAGATACGATTTTGTCTCGTGTAACTAAATATGTTATAACCAAATGGCCAACAAATGTCGAATTAGAAATTAAACCCTACTTCCTTAAACGAAATGAAATATCTATTGAAAATGGCATCTTATTGTGGGGACAAAGAGTAATTGTTTCTAGTCAACTACGAAATGAATTGCATACATCTCACTTTGGTAAAGTTAAGATGAAATCATTAGCTAGGTCTTATATTTGGTGGCCATCATTAAATACAGAAATTGAAGTTCTCAGCAAGAATTGCATTCCTTGTCAGAGCATGCAGGCAGATCCACCTAAGGTTCCTTTGCAAGGCTGGAGCATTCCTCAAAATGTTTGGTCACGCGTGCATATAGATTTTGCCGAAACACGAAAAACTAATTTTCTTATAATTTTGGATGCTTTTTCTAAATGGGTGGAAGTTTATCCAATGTCTTCAATCACCTCAATGGCTACGATTGCTAAACTTAAGGAGTGTTTTGCTCGTTATGGTTTACCGGAAGTAGGGGAGAGTCACCCAAGTTGGGACAGTTTTTTTTTATAACAAATACTTGAAAATCTATAGATATTAAAAAAAAGTTGAGGTAATAAAATGAAACATTATTCTAATTATTAACACATTTTAGATATAAACTAAATAAAAAATATGCTTCGTTTTTTGTTATTAAAAAAAAGTGTGAATGTCCCATCATGAGAAACCGGAATCCTAAGATGGTCCGTTGGGTTTCTCAAAAAGGGACATTACTCTATACAACTTCCACAAATAAAATAGAGATCATCCATTACTCCACAAGACTCAAGAGTCCAATTTGAACATATTTTGCAGTTGTACCAGTCTTCACTACTCTCTGCGTACTTCTTTCCACATACAATGCAGTTTGAATCATGTTTAGTTGAAGTGACGACTGTGATATTGCTAATATTTGCATTTCGACCGCTGTGGTCCATAACTACAGTTCGTTTCACATATTTAACTTTGTTAGTAGGGATTGTGGATAGCAACGTCTCTAATTCATTTTTATGCGGCGATTCTGTGAGTATCGTGGATTTCAGAGAATGTCTAGAATAAGTCTTACCTTTCTTTTTCTGTGCCTTTGGTAGCGGACTAATATCAGTCACTTTTACCTTGGATGTCGGAAATTGGATAGGAATGATTTGGCTTCTCTGTATCGGTCTGTTATCTTCGGAATCACCATCTTTAGGTGACCTTAAAACAGACTGTTTTGAGGTTGAAGGAATCGGATTATCATACATTTCAACTTGATTTACGCCTTCGGTATGAGCCATCATTACGGGTAATTTATTGATCTGTGATGTAGTTTCATTGTCCACTGATTGTTCCGTCGTTTTAGAGGGAGCGAATTCGCAGTCTTGAAATACGTCTTCGTTAAAAGGCCAAATTCCGGTTACTCGGAATCCATTTGTCGCTATCTGTACAGAAGATGGCTTTGAGAATGCTTCTGCAACAGCACCTGAGATTTGATATATTCCAAATATACGACCACAATGATTTTTTAGCCATCTAGTAAGGTACAAATCATAATAACTCATAAATGTTTTAAAATACGAAACATCTAGGGGTTGCATTTTATGCGTACAGGGTGGTGGCAGGCATAATAAAATAATACCATTCTCGCGACAGAAGTTTATAACGTCTAAACTTTTTGTATGTGAACAATGGCCGTCCAAAATAATAAGAATTTTGCACTCCTTCGAAGGTCTGGTTTGTTGTGCAAAATATTTTATGAATTTTAAAAAAACATCACGATCCATCCATCCTTTGTCCTGTGGAAATGCCGGACTACTGTTAGGTGCATTGTCCATCAGCTGTTTTATTTTCTTTCTGGGAAATATAAAAGCAGGCGCAAGAAAATTGCCACTTGCACTCATAGCAGCTACTATAGTGACATTAACTCCTCTTTCGGCACTTGTTAAACCTTCCACTTGCTTTTTACCCCTGAGCAAGAACTTTAGATCATTTTTGGACGGTGGTCACTTCGGTCTCATCAATATTCCAGATTCTATCTGGAGTGAGGTGATGTTTATTATAAATACTTTCCAGGTTGTTGAAAAAACTTTGGACTGCATTCTTGTTGAATCCTGTAGCTCTAGCGTATGAGGTTGCTTCTGGTTTTCTCAGAGAAATATTTCTATGACAACTCAAAAACCCATAAACCCACTTTTTAGAGGCCATTCGAGTATCTTTATTAAAATTGTTAGCAATATTATTGGCTTGGGCAAAGTCAAATGCCAGACAACGAAGTTCTTTATAAGTGATTCCAAAAAATCGCTTTTCCATTTCAAGAATATGATCTAAAATTTCGTGTTCCTGTTCAACTGAGAATATTTGCCTAAACCGACCAAGATTTGTCATTTTCGGTCACGATTTTATTTTTGTTTGTAACTCGTCTTTGAAGAGTACTTTTAGGAATATTATATCTGTCAGCAGCTTCTCGAAGCGATAGTTCGTTATTCCGAACTTTTTGTACAGCTAGAATCATATTTTGAACGGACCAGTTTCCACGATCAGTTTTTCTTTTGTAATAGGAATTTGGATTTCTATTTGGCATCTGTAAAAGAAAAATATATCAGTGCCACTTACGAGATATAGAGTTCACTGAATAAAACATTTTTTAATGACACATTATCTTTCATCAAGGTTAGAATATTATGATCTCCTTGGGTATAATCTAATTACTGAACCCCTACTTATAAATGTGTTTAGAATGAATTACCGTTATATATAAGAATTTATGAGTAATTAATGATTTAATTAGTTAAAAGTAGGCAGGTATAAGAAGAATATCTGTAGCCATATTTTAGTTCTTAAGATGGGACGTCCCGACTTAGGAAGTTTAACTTTGTCCCATCATAAGAGATTTGCACCCATTTTGTAAAAATCTTAACCGATATTAAACAAAAGCTTTAATGGCAAATACTTTACAGTGAAATGCAATGACTATAAACTCTGTTATTGACTAATAACGTTAAGTTTCTCTCAGATACTTACCATTAACGCTATATTCACTATAATGTTGTACGTAAATAAATTTAAAAAAATATGTAAACATTAACAACTTGTTCTGACGAACGCTACCGGTATGCTAGCCTCGTGTCGTTTACGTGACAATACGACTGAATGGCAAGCTTTCATTCTTCCAGTGCAGGTGTTGCCACTTGTTACAGATTTTCTAGAATTGCTAGTGTCCCTATTTGGGAACCGTCCCGTCTTAGGTAACTCTCCCCTACTTGTCAGCGATAACGGTCCGCAGCTAACATCACAAGAATTTAAACATTTTACTTTAATTAATGCTATTAAACATATAACAATACCTCCTGTTTCAACACATTGCAACGGTGCTGCTGAAAATAGCGTTAAAACAGTCAAGCATTTTTTTGGAAGGGCTTTGCGAACGCGTCTAGATTTAATTAAACCTGTTGATTTACAAAAACAAAAATAAAACCTAGTTGATTTAACACACATTAGACGTAACTTGACTCAAGCGCAAGAAAATAATAAGAAATATTATAGGAGGAGGAGACAGGTAGAGTTTGTAGTGGGCGATATCGTTTTAGTTAAAGATTATAGGAACAGCAAGGTGTCGTGGTGCAAAGATTTTACGAATTTTAGGTAGAAGAGCATATTTGGTAAATCCGTCAGGTAGTAAACTTACGTGGAAAAGACATTGTAATCAAATTAAAATAGTTTTTAATAGTAATTTAGAAGGTATTAGTATTACGTTTTCAGGGGCGATGCACGATAGCTCAGAGGAAAATTATAGTCAAAATATCGAGGAAAATGTTATCCAAGCCGCTACAAACTCAACAGTAAATCTAGGTGGGGAGCCTCAGCTAGACTCTCAAAAGGATAATGATGGTATCCAAGAGTCAGGCATCCCACATAGACGTCCAATAAGATCTAGAAAAGAACCAAAACGTTTTGGATTCGAAATATAGTATTTAGAAGTTTAGTTTTGTTGTGTTCCTAAATTTAGTTACAAGTAGAATATTAGGGTGGGGGATGTAATGTATTGGACATGTAATTATAAACCTCACTCGCGACGCTCATGTATTGCTAATTATAGCATTATATTTCAGTTAGGTTACAGGTAAAACAATTAACAGTTGTGTTTGATATGTAGTCAAATAATGATTTGTTTTGAGTTTATCCAAGTGTTTTTGTACCAAACATTTCACGTTTTTCATATTCACCAGATACAACAAAAAACATTTGTTGTTTGATTACCTGGTAAATATACAAACAAATCTAATGGTTTTCTAACACAGGAACAGGCAACAATTGACCATGTGAGAAACATATGGGTTTTCTAGATTAATATCACAAACACCTAATGATTGCCCCTGGGACTTATTTATGGTCATAGCAAAAGCAAGTCGCACTGGAAACTGTACCTACATCCGTCGGAATCATTGGGATGCGTGGTATCAAAACGTCTTCTTTATACTTTCCTTTCAGTATAGTTGCTTTTATCACGTTGTTCAATAATTTTTTATCGCAACCGTGTGCCTTTACAAAGACGAGGTTGGTTGATATTTCTCAACATTATAATTACCGATCCAACCTTTAATTGAAGCAAAGAATATAGACGCTTATAGAAGAATCTTTCACTGTTATTTTTGAAAGTTGGCAAAAGATGATCGCACGTTCTGAAAAAGAATGAGAGGGTGGATCTAGATTTTAGTATCAATAGGGAGCGGTCATGTCGGCGCTATTATTGCTTTTAAAATATGAAAGAGTGGGGCAACAAATGCAACAGATATTTTTATGTAGATGCCGCGTGGCAGTAGAACAGGGTTAAATTTTTGCGTTTTATAACATTTTTTAAAGAAAATAATATTTTAACTTTTAATAAATGAATCCTATTAGAAAAAATATTATGATTCAAATTTTTAATTTAAATATGTACAAATCTACAAATAATATACTTAAAACTTTCTTACCGCAGACGTTCGGATACAATTAGCGTCTCTTAGCAAAGACAATGACGTCGACTTTGCTAAGTATCAAGACAATTACTCTACACACACACACACACACACACACACACACACACACACACACACACACTACACCTCAAATTGTAAGATTGGCGAATGGATTTAGTGTCCGCAGTCATTTAAACACAAACAAACAAAAAAAAAACTTTCTTCTTATTAACTATAAATAAAATTAATTCAATCAATAAAGTCATCAATCAGCGGAATGAAATATTTCCAAATTTTCTAAATTTAATAATTTCTTCTTCTTTGTTTTTAATATAAAATAACATAAAATGTAAAACACAACACAGTTTTTCTGCAAAATAATGGAAAATTGTCTAAAAAGTTTAATGAAAAGTCCTGAGAAAATTAAATTTTTGGTTGAAAATTTTTGAAATTTTTAAAAAATATTTCGTTAATTTTTGGGCAGAAAAACAGTATAATAAAAATTTATGTGACGGTTTTTCGTTGTGTTGGAACAAACCTATTTTTCATTCATAGTTATAAAATGTAAAAAATAAATGCTTTGAATATTGTAAATATCATACCTTTTTAAATTTCAAAATTAAAAATTTAACAATTTAATATATTAAAAATAAAGATTTTATTGTGAAAAAAAAAAACATAAAAAGCATGGGATTTTTTTAATCGTAGATGCAAAGTTAAATAAATAGCTCCGTTCGTACTCCTTTCCCACTTTCCCCTAACTACATCTTTTATGATAGTTTTAAGCCAACTGCCAGATGTGTTTTAAAGTATAAACCGTAACCAAATCGCCCATTTGAACTGTTCTTCTATAAGCGTCTATATTCTTTGATTGAAGATTGTGAGGTGGCAATCCTGGTAAATCCAGCGAGTTTAAACATTCAAGCGGATAGTTGGCGACATCATCTTGATTAGTAGCCAAATCAACTAATATATATCCTCAATTCGCCTGTAATTTGTTCTTGAATTTTGAAATTTAATTCATTCACATCTGTTTTTGCAGCCAATATAGCCCTTTTGCTCAATCGTCACGTTCTTGTGCAGTATGATTTGTAGCATTTCGGGTTCTTCCACCTAAATTACTTCGTCTTATAGGAGACATATCGAATATACTTAATAATTTTTATTAATCACTGGTATTAAAACACTTTGCACAAAACACGATATAAAGAGAATTTAAGAAGATAGAAAAACGAGAGATATAAAAGGAGAATTGGTTTCGTTTATCAAGTCGACAAAAGAAAACTGAGTAGATAAGGTAAGATAAGGTTGTTGTTGTCTGTGAAAGAGAATATAACACTACGTTTTATTGTTTTTTAATTTGATATGACTTGGAGTCAAGTCCTTTAAGCCAAAACAATGTTGTATGTATATAGAGTATATTAAATTAATAATAAATTAATTATTAAAGATAATAAACACTCTTTAACGCGTTTTTATTTGACAGATGCATCGACGTGAAAACTGATGCAATTTGTGTCGCGTTCGGAAACTAAAACAAAAGAAAGAATATTGCAAGGCCAATCAAATCTATAGCTCTTACATTTTTTGACTTTTCAATTTGATCGGGTTCACGATATTCTCACTTTTGTGTGAACGTATTAGATCCTCCAACGCGAACACGCACACACATACATTCTATTGAATTTGAACTTTGTGCAGCGACAATAAAGCTCAAATAGACTCTTCGCCGTTAGGAACACACCTACATTGTTTAGACAACAGTATGTGCTTGTAATTTAATATAAACTTTCTTCTTCTGAGTGTCTCTCCTATCGGAGATTGGATATCATTATGGCTATTCTAATTTTATTTACTGCTGTTTTGAATATTTCGTTAGTGGTACAGCCAAACCACTTTCTTAAATTTCTCATCCAGGACATTCTTCTACGGCCTGGATTTCTGCGTCCTTGAATCTTTCCTTGCATTATATTTTGTAGGAACGTGTACTTTTGTCCTCTCATCAGGTGGCCTAAGTATTCAAGTTTTCTCTTTTTTATATTCATGATAACTTCTAGACCGTTATTTATTCTGCGTATTACCTCTTCATTTGTAATTTTATCCACCCAACTTATTTTTAATATACGGCGGTAGCACCACATCTCAAAGCTTTCAAGATTTTTAATATTCCTCTGTTTAAGAGTCCATGCCTCAACACCGTAAATAAACTTTATTGAATAGCAATAAAGTTCAAATTGACTCTACATTTAGTTAGAAAATATTTGTATGGGAACAAGAAAAGGGCTGTTTTATTGTTTTCCCGGAAATTATTCAATTTTTCTCGCCGTAAAAACCATCTAATTTACTTCATCTAATTTACTTACCGTTGCACGTCATTATCATTGACAGAGATCGAAGTTGACATAGTTGCTAAAGTATAAAAAAATCTTGAATCCATTTTAAATCAAATAGGTCACATAATTATTGCAAAAGTGGATTATACAACAAAACAAATTAATATTACACACTAATAATAAACACTAATTTTGTTCTAATAATAAAGTACAAAAAGTGTCAACACCGCAACTGTCAAATAAGTGTTACCAATTTATGCCAAATATCACCTTCGTTCGATTACATTTACAGCGTGTTTCGAACAAATGTTCTTCATAAAAACGCTTTATAATGCATTTATACAAATTAAATGAAACATATTATTGTGTATTTATTTAAGTTAAGGGGACTGTCATGCGGAACTTTCAAAAAATCAATTTTAATTTTTTTTATAAATCGCTTCCATTTACATTCAAAAACTCCCTCCTATAATTTTAAACAGAAATTCCCACTAGAATATAGGTTATAGTTATTTTATTAACGTCATCTACGCACGTATGAAAACCGGTTTCTCTTCGCGCGGCGAGCGCGAGGATTCTTGCTTTTGTATATACGTTTGGTATGTATTAGTGATTCATTTTTATATAGTATGTATATCTGTATAACGTTTGGCAGTTACTATACACATTTGGAATTTTAAATCCGGAACATAGGATTTTTTACAAATACTAAGATTCTCTGCGTTGCAATTAACTAGTGTTTCTTTATAACGTCGCGATGTTTTATAACTAATTTATTTGTTCCACTGGATTTATAGTTCCACTTCTCCTCAGCGTTTTATAGTAGCGTATATTTCGGTTTTGTGCAGATAATAAATAATGTTTTATTAACATCAATTTTGTTTGTGTTCATTAGGTATTATTTGAGTTATACAATTTATACTTAAATACATTTATTAATCCAAATATTGTTTATAATTTCAAATTAAAAAGAGTGTAATATTATTTATAAAATTCCTTTTTATTTTTAATTTTAGAAATCAACATTTTTTTCAAGCCGTTTTGGCAATAAAACAACCATTTTTTTAGTTATAAAATATTTTCATATCTACATTTATAAATAAGTACGTTTTCGTTGAATTGACATGCGATCTAGGTTTGTTCCGTTTTTACACTTACACTGGCAGCATCGCGGCGTGAATTGAGAGTGAGACTCCAGTCAAACAAATGAATTAATTATAAAACATCGCGACGTGTATTGAAATTTACAGCTTTACAAAGCCATTTACAACAACTGTTGGATGAAGACGGTCCTCAATATTCACCAGGAATGGCCGATTAAACGTGAACGTGAGTATAAAGTTATCAGCCTTTTATTCACGAAAATTATGTAAAAAAAACTTATGCATTTTTCTCAAAAGTAACATTTTCAAACTGGTCAGACACTTTTCTCCGAACCTTCTTAACAGATTTTAAAAAACCAAAAATTTTTCGAATGTATATAGAAAGTACTAGATGATAAACCTTTAAAATATTTAAAAACCACCCTCCCTTTTATTATATATGGGTAAATCCACCGAAAAATATAGTGATTTTTCGACTTTTTTGAAAAAATACGTATAAACTCTTCAAAATAATACAATTTGCATATTTTAAAGGTTTATCATCTAGTTTTGAGTCTCACGAATACAACCCATTTTGAATTTTTTGAATATCTGTTACAGGTGACCCACAAAGTGTCTTACCACCAAAAACGCACTTTTTACTACACGCCATCTACAGGACACCAATGAAGTTAAAATCGTTATTAAAAATTTTTATTATGTACTTCAAGAATTACTTAATCATCTCCAAAAGGAATTATGTTAATAAATATTATAGTTTTATTTTCTACTTTAATTTTAAAATGCGTCTTTTTTTTAATCGCATGAGACTGTCCCCTTAACATTAATAGAAATATTTAAATATTATTTCTACGCGTATATAATAAAATATGTCTAGTGGCTGTAATACCAGTGCACTCGGCAAAGTGATTTTAAAAAAGAACACACCTACCGCCGAAATATTTATGTGAAGTAAACTTATAAAATCAATATTGTGGCCAGCTGAATGCCCTTATAAACACAAATAGGGACTCTATTCACTGTTGCCAAATTTCCATGCGACAGTCTGATGATGGCTCAGTTCTTTGTGAAGCTGTATGTATTAAAATTCGTTGTATCGCCAGAGGGTGAAAAGGGAAAAAAGGATAAAGGAATACTTGTATGTCAACCAAGAAAGTTCTAGGTACGTGAAAAAGGAATATATGTGTTACAGAAAGTTTTATTTAAAAATTAAATTTATAATTTTAATAAGAAGCTTATATTACAGTTGACAACAATGATACCATTTGTTCAAGATGTCCAAATAAAATAGTAATCGGTATGGCCTATGTAACAGAACATTATCTACACTTTTATGAATATGTCTACAATACCTACAAAAATCACATACAATCTTACACACTGCTTAGGTATTAGGAGAAATCGTCCAGTGTGCAGATTTTGCCAAAACGTGGATCAATTTATGTAGTAGATAGAACTATTTTTATTTACCAGTTCCAATAGGCGTCTTTTGTCTCAAAATATATAAAAATGTGTTTTAATGCTATTAAAAACATCACAGCAGGAGATTCAAGAATAAACATTCTAAATTTTCCAGGAGAGGAGAAGTTTTTACTTAGAACCGATGACGAAAATTCAAAACAAGATAGGCAGCGTAACCAATTTGGAAAAACCACACACATCAAAATAATTGCGTTCTAATAAAACTGATATTTGGCTAAATAAATGCGAAAATATGTAAACAAAACAAAGATTTAATTTTAGATATTTAAATTTTTATATTTAGAAAGAAATTATGGAATTCACTGCTTCAAGGTAAGTTTTGCCAAGAAGACATACAATTAAGTGGATATCCGGAAAGTAAACATATATTTTTCTATTAAAAGGATTTCGATCTCAAAGCTCAAATGTCCTTAGAGTTTTTATTTTCTCTATTCATTCGGTATAATACACAAAAGACTGTTAGGCTTGCGAGCTATATAGTATATACTTTTGGTGTTTTTCATTTACCATTTTAATGCCTTTCAGTCAACTTGCGTCCAGAAATCATACTACATAAATCGACCCATCTATTAATTGTACATTTCCTAAACAGTCAAGTAATTATTTATAAAATTGAAGTAAGGTTAACTGTGGTACATTTTTGTTAATGTCGTTACAATATTTAACATGGCAGAACTCAGAAAAGAAACTGGTTCAACTTAGATAATACGAACAAAAAGATTTTTTTTGGCAGATCCCTTTGGTAGCCAAATGATTTAGGTAGCTCCAAAATTAATGTTTTATTATTATGAGTCAAATTTTAAAAAGTAGTTAACCAATTTCCATTTTCTTAAGTCAAAAGGGGGTAGACCAAGATATATCTTGTCTCCAATTTGACAAATAATATGTGAATGCTGATACGACGATTATAAGAGAAATATATGGGTTAGAGATAAAATGATAGAAACTTTAGATATGCAGATGATATTGTTATACTGGCAAGCATTCAAAAAGAGTAATCTAGGAAGAAAATAATATAAACAATGCAAGTTTTAAGATCATAGAGCCTATATTTTGGATTGCTGTCTAGATGAACAGTGAGCTATAGTAGTTACGGAATTACTGCCAAAAACTATACATCATAAATCAATCGAGCTCGAGATTGGATTGACCATCAAAATGAAAATTATATATAAGCACCCACTTTGTTTAAAGGTTTATTTCTGTTTTGTAAAATAACTGTTTTGTTAACATTTCATATTGTGAGTTATATTGAAAAATCTTTTTGTTCCCATATCAATGGAACCAGGGAAGCTACATTTTTGTCTAAGGAAAAAAGAAATAGATATTCCAGCATATTTTAATACAGTAAAATACACATGATTTCAACATAATTTAACAATAAATATGCACCTGTAGAAGGTTATAAATACAAATAGAGTATATACGTCTTCGATTCTAAGACATACACTTTTATAAACATAAATAATGTAAACCTCTTTTATTTTTAATTATTATATATATAATATTTTCCATATATATTCAAAGTAGTATCAAATGAGAGATATATAATGTACAAACTTATAATGGATAGCATACTAAGTGCTCAGCATAAATAAAGTTTGGTGGTAATCCGCATTGCCAATTGTTTAGCTAAACGAGAAGTGTAGAGCTTCTGGTAATACTTAAAATAAATCATAAATAGCCACAGTGAGTTGGACAAGGCGGCACTACCGGCTGAAATCTGAAAATTAAAAAAATACTAGTTAGTTATATAACAACAAAAATTGGATAACGAATTAGGGTACTGTAACCAGTTTTGGACACAGCACCAGTGATGGACATCCAACAAATTAATGCATATTATCAAGGAAGCTTTCAATAGAAATCTGAAATCTTTGCTCTGTGACAACTGCTTCATGCAGAGGCAGCTTGTTGTATTAAAGTGAGCATAGTTTGCCACGTCAGTTTTGGCGCCAAGATGTATTGTTAGCGTTGGTGGTAAGAAAGTAAATCATTTGTTTAACTTACAAAAACTTTAAAACCTTTACAAAAAAATTAAGTGGGTTTTTAGTTAATTTTGTTGTTAAAACGATTTACTCTGGGTGTCCAATACTGGATTTACAATTATATGTACTTTCGTAATATGGACAGGGTGTCTTATTAAAGGCACATACGTTTTTATTTGAAATTACTGGTAAATACGTAGATATAAAAAATGCTATCTTTTGCTATAAACACGAAGTCTATACATTTAGGGGATCCAGCATTGGACATATCCATTAAATAAGTGTCCAATAATGGATAAGAAAATGTCCATTACTGGTGTCAAGAAATAATTTTATTTCGTTATTTTACTGCTGATCATTTATGATGGATAGATAAGGGGCATAAGAATTCTACCACTGCTCAAATGGCAGAAGCTTTATTAGCGGCTAAAATGGGTATGCCAGTTCCAGTTTCAACTGCAAGTAAGAGAATTGGTGTACCTCTTATTACATGGCACAATAAGCTGAAAGGAATAGGTCCTAAGATATGCAACATGGACCCTTCAATAGTTCTTACTGCAGATGAGGAAGCTCACGTTGTTAGGTGGATTATCGACATTGCAAGAGCTGAGTTTTCTGTAGCGAACCAGTTACAGTTACAAAGTAAATAAAGAAATTAAACAGAAAAAGTCCATCTACCAAAGGTATCCCTGGTAAAAAGTGGTTTAAGTCATTTCTGAACAGACATCCCAATATATCTTTGAAGACGTCAAAGAAACTTACCGGTTATCGTGACCAATTAACAGAAATCGATATATGCAATTGGTTTTAAAAAGTTTCAAATTATTTTCAAGATAATGGCTACTATGAAATTTTAGGACATGCACATCATATTTTTAACGCTGATGAAACAGATATTTGAGTGTGCTCTAAAACTGGGAAAGTTTTGGCACTTAAAAAGGAGTTATGAAAATCGAAAAGGTATAAGAATTCCATTGTTATTCTAGTGTCCCACAAGGGTCTCATTGTGGTCCCTTGTTTTTTAGCTTGTTCATTAACGATATAGGTAAGGTTATCAAAAACTCACACTATCCGCTATTTGCTGATGATCTTAAATTATTGCGTTATATACATGATAAATCGGATAGAGATCTCTTGCAAGATAATGTAAATAATATATGTTTTTGGTCGAAACAAAATGGTTTAAGCTTAAATCCAACTAAATGTTCTTGTATTTCATTTAGTCTTATAAATAATCTAATAGCTAATAAATATGTTCTTAATGATGTACTCTTGGATTCAGTTACTGAGATTAGATATTTGGGTGTATTTTTGGATTGCGCATTGACATTTAGAAGCGATTTTCTTAAAATTAAGGAAACAGGATTTCGTAATCTTGGTTTTATTTATCGTAACAGTCATATTATTTCACCCATTGTATTCAAATTATGGTATTGCTCTCTGGTACGATCAGGTCTTGAATACTGCTCTGTTGTTTGGTCCCCATTTCTTTAAGTCTACATTGATGGATTGTAGAGCGTATAGCGGAAGTTTTTAATATCTTTAGCTTTTAAAGCACATATTAATATAAGAAATACTGAAAATTATTTCATAGATAATCTGTCATAATGTCTCAATTTAACATTGTTACACTGAAGAACCGCAGGTTGAGAGCTGATATGTTATTTTTGTTAATATTCTAAACAACGTTATTAATTGTCCCCCATTATTAGCCAATGTATACTTAAACAATACAATACACAAAACTCGACACACTGCACTCTTTTATATTCCTTTTCATAGGACTGATTATACTCGTCATTTTCCCTTGTCGAAAATGCTCAGCTCTTGCAATGACCTCTTATCGGATCCATTCTGTCGAATCATTAATGTTTTCAAAAGGCAACTTAGAGTCTACTAAATATGTAATATATTTTTTAACTTTTGTGATTTAATATACTGTTTTAATGTACACATTTTTACTGTTTAATTGTTTCTTTGTTGTTGTTTTGATGTTTATTGTACATGATTTTTAATTTTTACTATTTTTTGTATTTTATTGTAAACGGTTCTACCATTGAAATAAATAAATAAATAAAATTAAAGGAAGACAGATAGGTGCACTATGCGCAAACACATGTCTCGAAGAAATTACTCTTGAGAATATTACTTCTACATTCGCAAAGAAGAACAACGTGTTTGCAAAAGTGTGTTCTTGGAAACTTTTAATGTTTCAGAAACTTAGATCACTACAAGATTAAGAAAAATAAAAGATGGTGGATCATTAGAGGAAGATAAACGTGGAAAACACACTAACAGAACACATAAACTATCACTACAAATAGTATATATTATAGACAAAGTAAAAAGGGCTAAATATCCAGAAAATATACCGAGTGTACGAGTATTGTGAACAAAATAATATCACTACAGTTGTCACGTCACGGTAGTGTAGAGATATTTTCAATGAATAGTTCAATGTTTTGGGTTCTTTAAACCAAAAAAAGGACCAGTGTACCGTTTGTTGTTTTTAATATGGTTACTCTTACATATAACTTTACAGTTTATGATGTTGGAAATAATCAGGGTTACAGCTATGTCTAAAATGAGCAGGTGACTAAAAGAGATCCAAATGAAATTGCCAGTTGCCTCTGGAAATTTTTAGATCTTAAGGCAAAACATAGTGTTTAAAACGATAATAGTCTACTCACACAAATGTGGAGGACAAAATAGGAATCGTTTTGTGTTTTCGACATTTTCTTTTGCTTCCGGACATTTTGAAACTGATATTGTCCACAGATTTTTGGAAAAAGGCCACACTCAGAACGAGGGTGATAGAAGAGTAGGTTACATTAATCAGAATAGCTAAAACTACAGGAAGAGTTTACGATGTTACGGAAATGGCCCAAGGATGTTTACAGACATTTTAAACAAATGACTGATACCAAGAATCGAAAAGTTGACGACAAAAAAAAATCAGAAAAATCAAAAAAAGTTAGCAAAATACGAGAAATAAAATTTTCGCATGATCACAAAATTCTATAATGTTATACGAATTCAATGATGGTTTTAAAAGTGGTGATATAAAATTAAATCGAAAATGCAGAGGATGGCCTTCCACTACCATCAAATTTCCACCGAAACTATATGATGCACCATTACCAATTGAAAAAAAAAGCTAAAGGGATTACTGTGGCTGTGTAATACTAGCAAAATACCCAGAATGTACCATGGATTTACATATAGAAAAAAAATTATTGTTCCTCATGTGTCCAAGATTAGTTCCATTACCCTATATAGGTTTTCTTATAAAAACAACATTCAGATGTGGTACTGATAGATACATAAAGATATAAAGCTGCTCTACGATAAGGTATGACATTACTGATTTAGAAACATAAAATAATATAACAACAGCACCATCAGAGTATCCTTTATTGCAATAAAAATACTTTACACGGTCGAGTTTACCGAAAGTATAAGCTGATTATAGCCGCAAATATCAAACATGGAACAAAAAATTTTGTGTAGCAGTGTTGGCATGTTTTTATAATGTAGATCATGTATGCTTTAGATATAAAAAGATTAAGCTTTAGAAAAGTACATTTTGTTCATATTATGTTATAAATTCTGCAGTGTTTGATTTATATAAAACAAGAATGAGTAAATATTTGTTTTTTTGGATATTAATTGCAGTTAATTATATTGGCAATTACCCTTTGATAGATTAGGCAATCGTTAAATCAGCAGTTGCCAGATTGCAACAGATGTTAATCAACACAATAATAACAATTAATCTCGAAAGAGAGAAATATTTATTCGTTATTGCTTCATATAAATTAAAAATTTCAGAATTCATAAAATAGTATAATCAAAATGTACTTTTGAAAATATTTCCCTCTTTATATTCGAAGCGTACAATATATGCATTATAAAAACATGCCAACATTGCTAAGCCGAAATATTTTTGACATTTGCGGCTATATTCAGCTTGTACTTTCGGTAAACTCAACCTGTTACACTATTTTAACTACGTCTGCAGGTCTCTGGGCGAATTGAGTAGCTTAGGACCATGCTGTCGGTCCCAAGCTCGGATAAAGGAGAGACTCCATGTTAGGTTAGCACCCTGCCTGCAGAAAGACATTTAGGTATACAGAACTGAAGCTGTCTCGGAACCAGATTTGTGAATTTATGACGAATAATAGAATGACAAAGGACAAACGAAAACGGGTCAGCAAATAATTGTTGAAATGAAAACACCTAGAATAGATATATATGGCTTATCAAAGACCAAAAAGAAAGATCAAGAAACAACTCACTATGCACAATTCATTCCAATATATAGTGGTAAACCCAAACACATGAGCAATACATAAACAGTATTGAACAAATAAAATATGTAAACAACAGAATTCTACAGGTCACTAAAGCTTAACTAGGCCAATTTGCACCTAATAAATGTTTACACCCCAGACATCTCTAAATCCATGGAAGAAACAAACAGTATACAACACACATTCAACAAAAAATTCTCGAAAAAATGAATGACATTAAAAAACTAGTCATTTTCGGAGACCTTAATGCTAGGATAGGCAATGACACACTGCCAGGAGTGAAACAAAAATTCAAGAAAGATACCATCAATGAGAGAAACAAGATGAGGATCACATTCTCCCCACACAAAACCTTCTTACCCAAGAAAACAGATGTTTTTTCTCTATTTGGTTTTGCTTCTTTCGATTTTGTCTACATATTCGTTTTCTTTAGCGCTATAGTATATTTATTTTTGTATATATTCCTCAATTTTTTTAATTATTGTTTAATTTCTCTGGTCCAGGTATCATACCAGTTTTCTTTCTGACTAATTTCTGTTTTCCAATGCTTAGGTCTGTCCCCTGTATCATGACTGTTTGACCCCATCTTCTAGATATCGGCAGCTGTTTTTTCCAGTTTCTTACGTATTGCTCCATCTAATTTTTCCGCTGTGACTTTATGTTAGTGGAAGGAAAGTGATGGATTGGTCGAAAGAAACTTTCATGGCTGCGTAATATTAGACAATGGTGTGGTTTCACAGTAGAAGAATTATTTCGCGCAGCAGCCGACAGAGAAAGGTTTCAGGAAATTGTAAACATGATGACGGCCAACGTCTGAATACGGACACGGCACCCAAAGAAGAAGAAGACTTTATGTTGGAATGTCCTACTTGGTATAATTTTTCTTTCGTTTGCTCTTTGATTTGGTTATGTCTTTTTTGATAGTTTGAGATTGATCCTCTGTAGTCAGTTACTGACACACTTCTGTAATGTAATGTGTAACGTTATAAACGTCACATATCTATTAATTTATATTTAAATAATTATTTCATTTTAATTTCTTTATTAATTTATTTATCTTCAGTTTAATTTTTTATTATTTTTTTATTTAAAAAGTAGTTGGCGCCCTGTTTTTCTTTTCTTCCTCTGTCTTTATTTTCTCTCTCTTTCTCTCCCGTAGAATAAATATTCGCTCTCTCTCTTTCTGTCCGGCACACTAAATATTCTGTTCTGTGTTGACAGACAAGCAACATTCTATGACATATGTGCTAACTTCAAGCAGTCCCCCTACTTTGTCAGTTAACTTTTCTAACGTAGTGGGAATATAATTTTTTGCCTGTTTTTGAAATTTATAAAAGAAGGCAAAAATTATTAAGACTCATTTTATGGTCTACAATATTCTCTTGGGGTAAGTACTTTCATCGTAATCTTTATTCTATAATTCTGACCGCATTTCAAATATTCATAACCTTACTTCTTTCACCAAACCACGACGAACTCATCCTTGAGATACTGGGCTAGGCAAGGTATAGACGATAAGTTCCCATGGTTGATTGAGGTATTATTTTTACAATAGTACTTCAATTCTCTTTCGTAGTCTTATCGTTATAAATGTTAACTCACATCGCAAATCATCACAAGAAAATGTTCACAACATGTTGACATTTCTTTTACTGTCGATTTGACTGAATTTTTTATGTCATCAAAAAACATTGATACATCAAAATATTTTATTCTTATGAAAACCACTCAGGTGAAATTTATGTGAGACCGGATTGTCATAAAAATATTTTATTATATTAACAAACATCTCAACCAACTTACCCATATTTAGTGTAACATGCATATTATTGCTAATTATTTATTATTACTGACAACACTGTTTGCGCACGCCATCAGAGTTCATAGTAGGTTTTACATCTATTGGTTCTACGTTTTGTGGTCGGATTACATCACCTTCCGGAGGGTCTCTGATCTGTTTTTGGGAAACAATTCTATAGATCTCTGAAACACAAAAACAACAATAATAAAAAAGAGTGGACAAACCATTTTACAGCAGAGTAAATAATTTTATTACAAGAATAATACAGTTATACAACATAAGTATAATACAAAATAAATTGTTTGTCAAAATAAATCAGGTCAATCATATTTTAGTAGTTAAACTTAAAAAAATGGGTGCTGATGGGCCACTTCTTAGATGGCTGAGAACATACTTGATTGACCAAGTTCAGATGGTGCGTATCAAGGATTTTGTTTGCAGTTAGATAAAGGTTTATTCGGGAGTACCCCAGGGTTCTCATTTAGGACCCTGTTATTTAACATATTCATCAATGATATACACCACTGCTTCCAGTACAGTTCACCTCTTCTTTTTGCGGACGATTTAAAGTTCTACACAATGATCAATAATACAGAAGATTGTGTTAATCTTCAACACGATCCTGATCAGTTGAGTGAGTGGTGTGTGTGTTGCATGCCATGGTCCTGAACGCATCCAAGTGTCATGTTGTTTCTTTTGGACAATCGACAGACCCAATGGAATATAATTATAATATACAGAACATTCATGTTGACTGGGTTACCGAAATTCGTGATCTGGGAATTAATTTAGACTCTAAACTTTTATTTGAGTATTTACAATGCTTGGCTTTATAAAAAGATTCACTAGAGACTTTCAGAAAATTGAATCGATTAAATTACTACATTGTTCTTTACTCAGCCCCCATCTAGAGTATTGTTCTTGTGTATGGTCTCCATCTTATAATATTTACATATCAAAAATTGAGACAGTTCAACACAAGTTCTTGAAATATATAGCAATAAACAGGGTATACCTTTTGAATAAAATCAAGTCAATTATTAAATAATTAAGGCTCGGTACTCGCACCACTGCTTTTTAGCCTTTACATGCGGACACAAAAACATCAACAAAGTTTGGCTATGCTGATGACTTGGCTTTATTAACCCAAACAAAGTCACTAGAAGAAGCTGAAAAGATTCTTACGAAATACTTATATGTTATGGAAAATTACATTCAAAAATGGAGACTTTGTCCCATGCCTCCAAGACTGAAGCAACTTGCTTCCACCTAGACAACAATCTGACGTCAAGAACCCTTAACGTTTACTTTGTTCACCAGAAATAACATCATTCAGAAGGAAGAAAGAGCAGCTGCCGGAGTGGGGATACTAGTCAAGAAAAAATGGGTAAAAACAATAAAAACATTGGAACCCATAAATGAACGAATAGTAAAACTCATCATGGAAATCTATGGCAAGCAAATCGTGATACTGGGAGTATACGGCCCTACGGATAACAGTCTGGTAGCAGAAAAGGATCAGTTCATGGATACCTTACAAGAAGAGATTGGAAAAGTGAGACCAACACAAGAAATAATAATAGCAGGGGACCTAAATGGAAGAACGGGGAAACGACAAAATGATAGCACGATAGGCCATTTTGGAGAAATGTGACAAACGATAATGAAGAAAGACTAATTGACCTGTGCGAACTGAACAATCTGAAAATTACTCATCACCATTAAACATCAGATCCATTATCGATTACATAATTGTCAGCAAAAGTAGTACTATTAAAATTAGAGACACACGAGTAAAGAGAGGAGTCGAATGTGGCACTGACCGTCGATTAATATTCAAAAATATGGTTTCCCTACACGTTGAACACCCAAACTAGAAGGAAGAAAGAACACGAAGAAGACCAAGTAGAAAAGGAACAGAAAGAAGAAGAAATGAAGTTCAACATACATTTACTTCAAGAGGAATCCATAAGGGACCTATACCAGAGAAGACTGGACCAGAAGTTACAGGATTTCGGTTTCAGAAACGTCAAAGAAACGTACGAGCACGTCAAACACAGCATAAAAAAGGCGGCATTAGAAGATTTGTGGAAACTTGAGAAAAGAAATACCCAACACAAAGTAAAAATAAACAAAGAAACCAAAAAAATGTATTGAGAAGTAAATTCTATAAATGAAAAGTATGAGCACCCAATCACCAGAAGACACACAGAAGTACAAAGAGAAAAACAGAGAAGTAAAACGAAGAAAGGCAAAAGAAAAGAATGAAGAATGGGAAAAAACATGTGCACAAATTGAACAAAACATAGGAGGAACAAGGAATTCGGAATCCTTGAAAATACTGAAATCTTTGAGGAAAAATAAAAACGAAAAGGTCCAAATACAATACATATCAGAAAAAGAGTGGGAAGACTACTATAAAGAACTACTCACAGAAAACCGCCCAGATTTTATAGAGACAGACACAGAACATGAACAACAACAAAATCAGAATGAAGAACAGATTAAGATAACATTAATCGAAGTAAAGAATGCCATAAAGACTTTAAACAAAAAATCAGGGGGACCAGGAAGAATTGTTAATGAACTAATTAAGTACGGAATGGACAAACTACACAGAATTATACACGAAACGCTATAAACCTGAACAAAATACCAGATGAATGGTCCAAAGCATATATAACCTCGATACATAAAAAGGGAGATAAGAAGAAATGCGTGAACTACAGAGGTATCAGTGTGATAGCATGTATGGGCAGGTTATATGGAAAAATACTGAAAGAAAATCTGGAAAAATCTATCTCAAATAATATCGGAGAAGATCAGGCGGGGTTCACGGCAGGAAGATCTTGCATAGACCACATATATACACTCCAACAATTAATTTAAAAAAAATGGCAAAAAATAGACACGCAATAGATTTAAAAAAGGCATATGACACGGTTCCCAGAAAACAACTATGGAACACGATGAAGGAAATCGGAATAACTCAGAGGTTAATAGAAGCCGTAAAAAACCTTTACAACAACAACAAGGTAAGAGTTAAAACCGGCAATAAAAAATACTCCAACGAATTTAAGACCACAAAAGGCTTATTGCAGGGATGCTCTACATCTCCGACACTGTTCAAGATATTCCTCGAACAAATATTAAAACCATGGAAAAGGAAATGTGAAGGGATGGGAATACCAATCCGGGACAACTTCTTGTACACATTAAGCTTTGCAGATGACCAAGTGGTAACGGCTCAAGATGAAGAAGATCTGTGCTATATGCTCCGAAAATTAGAAAAGGAATACACAAAAAATGGACTGGAAATAAACCTAGAAAAGACCGAATATTTAACAACAGAGCAAGAACCAGTGAGAAACTTGGAAATGGACGATGATAGGGAAATTAACGGCACTGAAAAATTCAAATATTTAGGATTCATACTCTCAAAAAATGGAACCACCGAGCAAGAGATAACCAGCAGATTAGCACAGACAAGAACATGTATTAAACAAATGAACGGGGTACTGTGGGATAGACAGATTACCAGAAATACAAAGAAGAGAATTTATAACACCTTGGTACGCAGTATAATGACCTATGGAGCAGAGAATTGGGTAATAAATAAACGAAACAGGTCCAAAATCACAGCAACTGAAATGGAGTTCATGAGAAGAAGCTGCAGAGTGACAAAAATAGATCGCATCAGAAATGAGGAGATAAAACGAAGAATGGCAGTAAAACAAGACATACTCAGCTACATCGAAGAAAAACGTTTAATTTGGTATGGACATATGAGAAGAACAGATCATACAAGGTGGATAGCAAAGATTTCGGATTGGAGCCCAATAGGAAGGAGGAAAAGAGGTAGACCCCGAAGATAATGGAGGGATGAAGTGGACGAGGCCATGGAAAGACGAGACCTTAGAGATGGAGAATGGCAGAAAAGAAAGGACTGGAGACGTTGGCTGAAAGAAGGAAGGCGGCGACAGCTGTAAAAATCCTTATATAGATACATAGATAGAAGCTCAGCGGCACAACATGGGGGGCATCGGCATCCACACTCAGGTCTTCAGGCTTAGCTCTTGTTTATTCCGTAGCTGAATATGCGCGCCAATATGGATCAACAGTGCTCACGTTAAAAAGATAGATGTCCAGCTTAATAACACCATGAGAATGATCGCTGGAGTAATCAAATCTCTACCAACACATTGGCTACCAGTGCTGAGCGACATTCCACCACCACATCTTCGCTGACTCAATCTGCTTAACAAAGAATATAACAAAATCATAACAAGATCCTTAGCAACACGGAGTTGCCGATTCATAACTATATAGAAATGGAACCAAATGTCGACTGCGCTCCAGAAAATCTTCAATACAAACTGCAGAATCAGCCGCAGCCACAGGGTTTAACATGATCACCAAATGGACCCATGAATGGTCTGAACCGCATCACAACTCAACATGGGCGATATGCAGATATGTTGCACAAATGGGGTAAGCTACCATCACCTGTCATGCAGCTGCGGCGAGGTCCAATCTATCAAGCACATAACGGAGGAGTGTTACAAGTGATCCTACGAGGGCAGCTCACAAGACTCCCGTTTGCGACGATCGATTCGATTAACTATATAAACAACCTCGACGTTTGCCTATAAACGGGCATGATCTAAGTATTTTTATATCGAGTCAATTTTAACGTTTATTGTAATGTAGATGCGTCGAAATGCCATACGCTAAATAAAATAAACTGCATTTCGAGATCAACATAAGCGGAGTGGGCTCCCGATGTGTGCTATGTTAGCTGTAGTGTGTTATTAGTAGTGTCCTTTCTAAATAGAACTTTTTACCATTCACAATAAGAAGTTTGAGTATCGCGGATCTAAACACGTAACGTTTTCATATGTTTGAAACAACTTACCTGTGAGTATATTTTGGAAAGCATTATCGACATTGGTCGAATCTAGAGCTGAGGTCTCAATGAAGCTGAGGCCGTTTCTTTCGGCGAAAGCCTTAGCTTCTTCTGTCAGCACGGCGCGCAAATGCCTCAGATCGGATTTGTTTCCGACCAACATGATCACAATGTTCTGATCTGCGTGGTCGCGTAATTCGCGCAACCAGCGTTCAACGTTTTCGTATGTCAGATGTTTGGCGATATCGTAAACGAGTAGAGCGCCAACTGCACCACGATAATAGGCCGCCGTGATTGCTCGGTATCTCTCTTGACCTGCCGTGTCCCATATTTGTGCTTTAATAGTTTTACCATCCACCTTAAACAAAAATACTGTTAATTAAATTATTCATTTTATATAAAAAAACATTATGAGATCAAATTTTCTTTATATAAATCATAATTTAATTGAAAATACGTTAAGGTTATAAGTTATAAGTAGAGACTGGATTATATGCTCTAAAAAATGATTAAAATATGCATGCAACATGCATTTAAAAAGTAACCAAATATGCCTTTAATATATGCAATATGCATTTATATATGCACTTAAAAAATATTTTTTAATTTTTAGGGCTTGAGATTTGGTGAGAAATAAAATTATAGTATAACTTAGAGTGTTTATTTATTACTATATTAATAAAAAATACAAATGAAAAATCACAAGAAAATGTCCTCGTTCTTGCTGTTACAGTATATAATCATAAAATTTTCAATATTTTCAAGAATAATGTTATGCCTTCTATTAGTTAATATGGGTTTGTATGAGGAAAACGATCTTTCAACATCACAGGATGTAATTGGCGCAAATCTAAAATTTGACACTAGCGAGGGATCCATATTAATAACTTCGTTAAAGCTTCCATTGATTATGTTATTTATTGATCGCAATAAAGAAAGCCTTCATTAAGGTTTAAAACTTCACTAAATTTATCTTTAATTATTTTTGCAAATTTTCCCTGAAAGGTTTACTATTCTTTCTTTGCGATAATCAACAATGCAAATATTATCTATCATTTAAAGATAGTTTTGTAATAGAGTTTACAATTATGTTAAAATTTGCCTTTATATAGGACAGTTCATTCCGAACAGAATTCTTACTAAAAATATTTTGACATTTCTGAATAGTAATACAACAAGAAGGATCAAAATTTGATATAACATTTTTGATATAAATATAATTATTTGCACAAAATATGGCAATATTCAACCACGTCCCCCATCTAGTCAACACTGGTTCCGGTAGCAAAGGGATATCGGGAAGCATCTCCCTATACAGGGTGAGTCATGAGGAACTTTACATACTTCTACCATATGTAGAGTCCCTCAGGGAGCATATCATGTGGCCACTAAAAAATGTCAACTCCTCTTCTTTATTAATTAACAGGGTGATTTGTGTAATTGACCATTTATTTCATTTTACTGTAGTGTTTATACGGCTCATTTGATTTTTTTAATTTTTGCATGATACAGTACACTACTATCAAGCATTCGACTGGTATTAGCTAAACTAAAAAATTCCAGGACTGGCTTTGGAAAAATTAATTTAGGGATTCGTATTAAATATTACACCCTGTATATATATTTTTTAAAATGCAATAAGTGATTTTCAAACTACATAAATAGCCAATGAAAACGACATATTCGACAATGTTGTCGCACTTTTTTAAATTTTTAGTGAACGATCCAATCTTACCAAAAATAGAACAACCATAATGAAGTATCAAATTATAAGGTATTAATTTAAACAAATGTTATAAATTTCAAACATTTTAATTAAAATGAGTTCCTACAACATAATCTAATACGTAGAAAATTAACATCTTTACTGTCACTTTGTATTATCTCTACGATAGAATCAATTGTTTTTCAATTTTAAATTTTTACTCATAGATCGTATTGGGGCATTATTTTCGATAAATAATAAATTAAATTGATTAAAAAGTCAAATCTCTTGTATGTGTTAGTTTTTGTTGATTGTAAATGATTAAAATTTTATGTCAAATAATAATACATTGCATCAACTGTACTAAATAAAAATAAATCTAAAAAAATTTAAAATGAAGGTTGGCGTTGACCGTTTGACGTTTCTTGATATTTTATACCCATTGTCATTATTGTCATTATCAATTGTTATTTATGTGTACAAGAATACATATTTCTTCTGTCATATCTACGTTAAGTACATTGTGTTAGTTTTGGTAGAGCTTTTGTTACTTTCGTTCCAAATGCCACATCAGTTTTCGACCACAGAATATGCAGACATAATATTTGTTTATGGATTCTGTAATGGGAATGGTAGGGATGCTAGTAGATAATACTGCAGGAGATTTCCTAATCGTCGAACTCCCAGTCATCTAACATGTGGGTCAGTTTTTAATTATTTGCGAGAAAATGGCACTTTTCCTAGTGGAACAACAGAGCGACATGTAGATGAAGCGCAGTAAGATGACATTATGGACGCCGTTACTATGAACCCTACAATAAGCACTAGACAAGTAAGTCGAGAACTCAATGTTACTCAGTCAAAAGTAAGTAGAGTCTTACAAAAAAATAATCTATACCCATATCACATTCAAATGGTTCAGCGACTACATGCTGGAGATGAGATCGATAGGTTGAAATTTTGTAGATGGATTAACAATAATCGACCAACGCTATACAGGACACTATTTACAGATGAAGCCCAATTTACCAGAGACGTGATAAATAATTCACGAATTCACATGTGTGGGCAGAAGAAAATCCCCATGCTATTCGAGAACGTCGTTCTCAGTTAAGGTTTTCGGTTAACGTGTGGATTGGTGTCATAAATAACCAATTAGTAGGTCCTCACTTTTTTGATGGTCCTTTAACAGGGCAGGTCTATTTGAACTTTCTACAAAATATTTTGCCGAATTTGCTTGCCAACGCGAACGTTGCTATCCGAGGGATGTATTTTCAGCATGATGGGGCATCTCCACACTTTTTACTGGCAGTGAGACAACATCTCAATAATGTTTATGGCAACAGGTGGATAGGACGTGCAGGTCCTATTTCGTGGCCTTCAAGATCCCCTGATTTCAATCCCGTTGATTACCATATTTGGGGACGATTGAAGCAACTAGTTTACGCAGTGAATATTAATAACCGACAACAATTAATTGATAGAATTATACATTGTTGTAATACTATTAGAAACGATCCCCAGAGTATCCGTAATTCAATACGTCAATTAACAATTCGGCAACAAAAATGTGTACAGGCTGCAGGGTTCCATTTCGAAAATCTATTTTGAATTATTTTTATTTTGTTACCATTATTGTATCTTTTCCAGTTCTAATTTATGGGTTTATCATAACTATGTACATATTTTTAGTTTTTTTTTAATTGTTCTTCGTTATTGTTAGTAGTTACTGTTTTTTGTTGTGCAGTGACTCAGTTTATCATTTCAATTAAAATGTTTGAAATTTATAACATTTGTTTAAATTAATTACCTTATAATTTGATACTTCATTATGGTTGTTCTATTTTTGGTAAGATTTGATCGTTCACTAACAATTTAATAAAAGTGCGACAACATTGTCGCATATGTCGTTTTCATTGGCTATTTATGTTTAATCACTTATGCTTTAATTTACAGGTGTAATATTTAATACGATTCCCTAAATTAATTTTTCCAAAGCCAGTCCTGGAATTTTTTAGTTTAGCTAATGCCAGTCGAATGCTTGATAGTAGTGTACTGTATCATGCAAAAATTAAAAAAACCAAATGAGCCGTATAAACACTACATTAAAATGAAATAAATGGTCAATTACACAAATCACCTTGTTAATTAATAAAGAAGAGGAGTTGACATTTTTTAGTGGCCACATGATATGCTCCCTGAGGGACTCTACATATGGTAGAAGTATGTAAAGTTCCTCATGACTCACCCTGTATACTTCTCGCAATGGTGCTTTTAAAATTGCTTTCTTTACATTGTTGGTTTTGCTACTAGTTAGCGATGCCGCTTCCTACATGGATAAAGCCGTTACTAGTCTTAAGATTTTTTAAACTTTGAAAAATTAAGGCAAATATCGAGCACAAATTTAATAATCAAATTTTGCCCAAGTACTTTCGCTTTCTACAGCATCATCAGGGGCATTTCGTCAAATTTGGGCTATCCAGCAAGCGCAGAATGTAATAAACATGAGATTGGACATAAATTGTACATAACACTACATTAACACAAGGACAAACAGTTTAAAATGATTGAAAAATTATTCTACGCTCTACATTCTTCGACAACAGGAGAGAGAATGTTTCAGAGGGAAATCTTCAAAAGATCTTGTTGGAAGATTTATTTGAAGAAAAAAGAGGAAAACATTTAAATAGGCCCAGAAACATTTCAGAGGACGTTGTTGTGTTAATGGGGGATCACTTGGCTAGTATACCCTATGATGAAAGTCATTACTGTAGAATCAAGAGTAATTTTCAATATTTTTACACTTTGTTAAATATAAAATCATTGTATGGGTTGTTCCAGGCCTTTTTCAAAGAATGAAAAAAGGAAACTCTCAAGATGTGTTATAAAACATATTATCAGTACTTTAAAACTAAGTTTTCCTATTCTGTTCGCTAACCTAAAACAAATGTATGCGATTATTGCCAAGAAAAGAAGAAAATTCCTCGCACCTGGTTTTGAAGTTCGACTATTCTCAAAATTTACCAATACCAAAGCTAAATGTCATACCCAATTTTACAAAAGAATATTTTGGTTGTACTGTTTTAATATTCATGTTTTTAACGACGACTCTAGTTATTGCTATACATTTACTGAGTGTGATGGAAAGAAGAATCCTAATTATGTGGTATCTTTTTTATTTGATTGTATTAAAATACAGATAAGTAAATTTTCTACCATTAAAACTATTGTGTTGTTATCTGATGCCGCAGGAGGACAAAACAGAAATTTATCTGTTAAAAGATTTTCATCGTGGTTTGCAAGAATATTCCAAGTAACTGTCATACAACTGTTTCCGGTTAGAGGGCACAGCTTTTCCCAATGTGACAGAAATTTTAGTTTGATCAACAAGACTATTAACAAAGCTGAAGTAATAGGAAGTCCTAAGTCATACCTTACTAGTTACTACTATGGTAACATACGGGAAAAATCCTGCGCTATTTAAAGTAAAAATGTACAATGACCTTCAAGATTGGGACTGTTTCATTAAACCTTTTTTCTTGCCTAAACCTGTGTCCAGAAACAAAGTTCCCTTCAAAATTATGAAGTACGTTATTACAAAATATGACCGTAGCGGTGGCATTTCATGTTCCCGAAGTTATACAGAAAACTTT